CCTGGCATTTGGAAATGTATCATTTCCATGACAAATGATTGCACCGGTTTTGGCAAGGCAGGGCCATTCTGCTGTGAGAAGATATGCAAAAAGGGGCCTGTAGCTGAGGCCACTTCAGCATAACTCCTGCCTGCTTGGCTGTGTCCTTTTGGACTTTGTGGGGTCGAGGTCCTGAATATATTGGTTCATACTGCAGCTGTGGCCATAAACAGCAAGCTAAGAAATTGCTGCTACCCTTTGAGTTAAATCCTCTTTTATGTTAGTCATCCAGCTTCTGCTATATAAATGGAAGAGACTACTTATGAAAAACTTAAAGTGGGTCATTGATGGCATATCTTAATATTCCTCTAGTTCTTTTGAAGTATTTATGAAAATTGAAATACCAGCCCCCATGGAACTGATCAAGTTTTGCACATATATAATCCATTCTTAACACTTTCCTTTCCAAAAATCTGTACTGCAGGCTGAAGGAAAACCAAACCAAACCAACCAACCCCCCATAAACAAACATACAAACAAACAAAAAGGCAACCTTTGTATTGAAATTGAAATCGATCAGGTACGCAAGTAGTATCTCCTCCTCCCTCCCCCCCCCCGTCACCCACTTCTCCTCTACTACTTTGCTTCAGTGTAAATGCACAGAACAAAACTGTGTAGAGAATATTTATGAAAATACACTCTCTTGGTCTTTCATTAAATTTACAGAGAGGTGAGGGCAGAGCTGTTTGCAAACGATCTTTTCCATGTGAGTAGTTGAACAAGGGAAAAAACGGGCAAAATGGTTGGAGACATACATGGGTGAGAGTTGGAACAAAGATATTTTAAAAGTTACATTTGAAGTCATAGGAAAAGAACAGATTCTCCAGCTAAAATGCTAGACAGGTGATACTATTTGCAATCTTCATTTACTAAGTAAATCTTACTAAACCCTTACCAAGTACAAGCTGCTGTTTTGAGCACTGGGAGTAAATTTTCTGTCCTCCAAGAGCTTATGAACTTCCTGGGGAGAGAAAAGTTCTATACATATGAAACAGCTGACAACTATGATCTTTTAATTATAAAAAAAAAAAGATTCTAAAGTGCTCACAATGCAGGTTAAATGCCTTTTAAGAGTTTATCTAAATCCAAACTTAACTTAAAGGCCTATAAATGTATATTTCTAACCAAGATTTATTTTCTAAGTTTCAAATATCCACCTGTATACTCAACATCTCCACCTGGATGTTGCAAGGGCCCATCATGTTTAACATGCTTAAGAACTAACTAGTTATTTTCTAATGAAAACTGCTTCTGTTTCAATATTTTCTATCACACTAACTGATCTTACCATGCATCCAGTTGCACAAAACAAAAATCCTGTGTTTCTTTGTATCAGCTATGATAGCTCCTTTCTCACTCCTGTATCTAATTCACCACCAGTTCTTTTCTTCTGTTAAACATCTTAACTCTGAGCATGTCTCCTTTCTTCAGTGCCACCATTCCACTCCTAGCTGCGATCTTTTATTATATAGATTTTACTGTTGACCTAGAAACTGGTCTTTTTCCATCCACTTTGGACTCTTCCCCATTCTTTCTCCATTCTACAGGCAGAGTGATTTTTTTCCAAAATGCAATTCCTATGTTCTCTCTCTAAAGGAAATCTTTCAATGTCTAACATGCTCTTAGGATGAAGATCAAATTCTTAATAAAGTAGATGGGTTAATTTTTCTTAGGAACAAGAGACAGAAAAGGTAGCTCAAACTAGCTTAAGCAAACAGATTTTTCAACCACGTTTATTTAGAAGTCTAGGAAAGCGACTCACTTCAGGCGCAACTTGAAGCACCTGTTTGCCGTCCTCCACCCAGCAAAGCCTAGGTGTCATAGGCTCCCTGCAACCCTCATTTGATGTTAATAAGAAATAAGTATTTGTCATTTTAAGCCACTGCTATTTTGAAGGTTTTCCCCCAGAGTTTAACCTAGAGAAAACTGAATGTAGAATCCAGTTCCAAAAGTGGGATATCTATAAATATGTTTCTGCCATAACAATACACCCCCCTATATATATATATGGCACAGGCTGTAGGGGCAGGGGGAGGGCAGTGAGAACACTGTCATAGAGGCTGGGAAAAAGGAGACCACAGGATTCTATTGTGAAATATTTGGTAAAATGATCATTTGGAAGGCAGAATATCGAACTTTGAGCTTTAGGTAGAAAAGGTTTTGAGCAAAGTAATGGCAGGTTCTTCAAGTAAGAAAGGAGCTTAGGAAAAAAAAAAGTGTCTCCTAAGTGAGAAAGAAGGGAGAATTCAGAAACTTAGAGACTTACAGAGTTGAAATGCATTGGTTCTTCACCTCGGCTGTTAAAAGATTTTGTAAGTGAGGTCAAACCCAAAGGTAACAACCAAATCGAGGGTATGGTCATAGAAACATAACCTCTGGACAAGGACTAAATCAAAGGAATAAACGTCAAAATGTTCCTTAAGTCTGATTTTATTAAGTGGACTTCAGTAAATCCTTTCAGTTCGACAAAATTTCTCAAAGATGAGAGTGCACTGTTGTCTCATGGAAACTTGATAAACACAAAGGAAGGAGAGTTGGCAGAGTTATGTCTCAGAAAGAATTGTAAGGTTGCCTGTTGTTGTGTGGAGCGGACTAGAATCAAAGAGATAAAAACTAGCAAGTTTTTGAGAGAGACGTATCCCCAAGGTGTTATGTGTCTTGATTGAAAAGACTATAAATGTTCTAGACGTAAAATTTCCCTTAGTCCCCAGCTCTCTACAGGTAGGAAGATCGATTCAGTGGCAAGGAGGGCACACCCCAATGCCTTCTCAACCTCTAGCCAAAGAGACTATTTCCAAAGACAGAGTGGTTAATTCTATGGGACAGAAGTGGAACTTTGTCAAGAAACACTCCTTAAATTACGGCCAATCTCACATTTGCCCAGTGGGATTTCAGGATTTCTAAGGACTAGTGATTACTGTGAAAATTTATTTTTTCTATTTCTATGTGAATATTCATTGCGATTATCCTGTCCTTGTTCCCTCACTGTACTTTGGGTATGTAGGGGAGTGGATAACTGTCTTTTTATTTGAAAGTTCTATGATTCAAGGGAAACACTAACAGCATCTAATTTGGATCACAAGATCTTGGGCTTTGATCCTATTTATGCTGCACGAAAAGACATTTGAATGCTTTGAGGAGGGAATTTTGCCTGCAGTTTGGAAATTAATACTCTGGTAGGTTGTATTATTGGTTTACAATCATTCGTTCTCTCCTAACATTTGCCACGCCTTCCTGGTACCACTGTCTTTGGGGTTGGCCATGTGGCACACTTTTGCCAATTTGATGAACACTTGTGACTTCTGACAAATCTGGAAACAAGTTTAACTGCCACTGAATGACTTGCCTGGGGTCCTCCTGCTCTAGCTCTCCCCCCATGAGCACTTTTCCCAGGTAGAAGCCCCTCCTTCAGTTCAGATTCTGGTTGAAAAGACATATGAAGCCAAGCCTCGCTCATGTAGAGCAGAGCACAGCAGTTACAACTGAGCTGTGTACCTCATGTAATGTGCATGAGAAATGAATGGTTGTTATATACCGAGGTTTTAAAAAACTGCTCTTAATACTGTATAACCCAGAAAATACTGATTTCATAAATTTTAAACTTTAATAAAAGGAGAAAATTGTTATAATAGAATACTAAATGATAACAGCAGGGTATAAATTTGTATGTACAGAATGATTCCAATTACACAGAAAAATATTGAGAACTATATGTGTTTACTACATGTCAGAAAAACACTAAAACATAAACAATGGTTATTTTTAAAATAGTAGACTTAAGAGAGCTTTGCGGCTTTGTATTCAGATCTAGTTTTGATTCCTGGTTCAGCCACTTCCTAGCCATATGATTTGAAGTAAACAATTTAATTAGTCTTCCTTTGACCATATCTATGTCTACCTCACTGGGGAATTGTAGAATTAGGTAAAATATGAATGTGTATTAATACATGTGAAAAATTAGCACAGTACTTCAGAGTAAGCTGTAAATAAATGTTAGCTATCATTTTTGTTATTTTGATATTGTCATATGATAATTTCCTGTATTTCCCATGTATTATACTGGGTATATATTAGTTTTAGTCAAAAAAATCAAAATCATAAAGGTAGAAAAATTAAACTACCAGGTTCTAATATAAAAATATCATACAATGCTAAATAGCCTCTTATTGATAAGGAATGGCACGCAGCCGAAGGAGCAGTGAGCAGCCAGCAGACAGGCACAGGGCAGAAGCACGCCCAGTGCAGAAGCCCGCCGGAGCTGCCCTGATGCACAGGATATGGTCATCAGAGAAGCTGACTGATTAATCTCTGTGTATTGTAAAAAGTAAGTTGAAAGTGACCTAGAAATGAGAAAAAGGACAGAGGTGTCATTGCAAGAGATATTTCTCTCTGGAAACTCAAGAACATTTTTTGTACCCAGTGGGATGCAGTTTGATGAAGTCCTGGCTTGTGTGCTGGGAAAAATACCTAATAAAGACCTGATACCTGCAGAGAGGGAACAGGCTGAAATCTAAGGTTTTCCACCTCTTTAATGGCAAACAGCCCAGAGACTATGACTTTTTAGCAGAGTTAGAGGATATTTTAAGTACAGATACTTCCAAGGTCTGTAAGATCAGAAGGGTCTTCTGAGGTCAAAGCTGTCAGAAACTTGCTCAGTCAGCAGTGAATAAAACAGACCCAGGGAATCTTTTTTTTAATAAGAACTAGAACATAAATATAAGTTATAAGTACATTCAGAACCTAAAGATGTGATAAACATCAATTTTTATAAATTATTTTATAATGCAATATATTCAAGAGCAAGAAGCATGCTTTTGTTACATGACTTTTATACTAGGTACTGTAAACAGAATGCTAAACAAGGAGTCATAAAACCACTTAATTCGGCTCATAACTAGCACCATGACTCTGTATGTGATATCATCTTGGGACGTCAGATGCTTCATTTATATGAAATTGTGGTTGCATTGCATAATCTTTTATGTCCCTTCTCTTTCTAACCTTCTTATATTCTTTAATTTCTGCAACATCTTGATACTGAGGCATTTTTCACTGAACATTAATATATAACAACAAATAACTGATGCCTAAACATAGACGTTTTCAAAACTGAAGGATGATATTAAACACAGTTTATAGTATTCATATGAGAATGTACCACAGTGAATTTTCGTAAGTGGACAACACTGTAATCCTCACCCAGATCAAGAACAGAATATTATCAGCAACCCAGATGTTCCTCTCATATCCCCTTAAGTCACTACCCTTTCCCAAGGATAACCCTCCACCCTGTGTAACATAGCAGAAATTATTTTTGTCTGTTCTTGAACTTTATAAAGATGGAATCATACAGCCTGTCTTTTTCTCCGTCTGGCTTTCTTTACTCAGTATTATAGCCATCAGATTTTAACAAAGACATTTAAAACAACAAGCAGGTAATATTTTAGTGGAGGAAGGCACAGATGGAAAATGGATGCTTAACTGAATTGTTAAAATCTAAACT